AAATTTGTAAAATTTAAAATCAACTCACGTAGTCTTTTATAATTTTATTAGTTTCGTGTTTAATAATATTTTAATTAGTTTCTTTACGATGATAAGTTTTAATTACCTATTAGTTATTTGTATTAATTAGTGAACAAACGAAATTTTATATGATAAAAAGCGAAAGAGCGTAAAATGTAGCGTGTTAATGTTAAAAAATACAAATAAAAACAAAAATAAAACCAAGTTTATAAGTGAATTCCAACCAATGTGTGAACTTAATTGTAGAAACACACAGAAGATTGCTTTTTATTTTGACCAACTCCTCCTCCCGAACTCCTCCCCTTAGCAAGCAAACTTGTGCCAATGACAAAGTTTAACCAACAATATTACAATATCGAACCCTCAATGAAGCTAAGTAAATGTTTGTCAATTAGGTCAAGTGAAGACGAAACACAAACTTTTTGACCTGTACCAAGTTCGAAAACTTATACAAAATAAATAAATGATACAACAAAGAACATTTTTGGCAAGCAACATTTCGGACTAAGAAAATTAAGCACAGAAAATGGAAAACTAGCAGGAAAAGCTAGAACAGCTTTTGGCAATTACAAGATTGAGAACAAAATGGAAACAAACTCAGTCAGCAAACACTCAACAAAAAATGGCGTTTCGGATACAAAATTCTAAAATTCAGGTATTACAAAAGAAAGAAAACCAAAAATACAGATAGTGTTGTATAATGTTAAAAACAATTTTTGAACAAAGTAAAAATAAAAGATGAACTATTTAGCTATTTATACAAGCGAGGCAAGTGAGTAAACATTGCGAGTACGTGTAAAATTTATAAGGTGCTTTTATAACAAAATATTTGGTAGAGAAGCGAAGGGCCTCCTCTCCCACATTAATAAATAAAAATATACATCTATTTTTCTCAAAGGGCATCCACTGTATTTTAAAATGCTTTTAAATGGAGATTGGAGGAGATTTAGAAACGAAACCCCGGGAAGGGTTCAAAACTCTTGTAATTCAGTTGTGAGCGATTCGCACATTTTGACGATAAAAGGAGAGTGTGTTTTTGTATAGTTTTTAATCGAGGGGGGCATTTTAAATCGTAGCTGAACCCTCCTCAAAATATAGAGCTAAATTTATACCTACATTCATCTGATTGATGACATCTCTAGTGGCAATCGAGGTTACGCACTGTTGTTTGCGGTTTGATTAGTTAATTGTTAAACAATAAGCGGAAAGCAAAATAACATTCTTAAGTCATTGATTGATGGCACCGTTCTGAAGTTACCACGCGACATTTGAGTTTTGTAGTGAAATTTCCCGAGTATTATTTGCAATTGACTTTTGAAGGCTTTGTAAAATATTAACGAAAGATTATATATATATACATACAACTTATTTGTGAAGTTAACTATTAAGCCAGTTATTGTGAAACGTATTTTGTAAGCCACGGAACACTTAAGACAAATTACGAATATTAAAATACAATATACAAATACGAAAATATACAGGATAGCGTAAACCAAAACAAGTACAGAATATTTAAATATTGAAATGTGCAAATCTTATTCGATCGTTAAGAACACGTCTGAGACAGGGGCTTTCGGAAGAAAGTATTTAATTAGTAGGATCCATCTGAGGTCGGAGTGCGTAGCCCTTGACCTCGAAGACAAACGGTCATTACCAAACAATCCACATACACAAACACTTGAAACACACACATATATATGTATAAATAAATATATACGATGATAAATTTATTGAATAAAAGAAAAATATACATTCATAATTATTGGAATATGGCATATTTATTGAATTATTCAGATGAACGTTCATGTTCATTCCACTTCTGATTTAAAAAATGTACTTAAAAATGAATTTTAACTATGGTGATTTGATGAGATGTATAAATAATTGATTGAGATTTACGAAGATGTTGCAGATGATTCCTCTTTAAACTGTTTCCGCCACTTCCACTGGCACCTCCTGAATTATACTTCTCGCTGAGGACAGTACACTGATATCGGCGCAGCTTTTAAAGGTTTCCTGGTCACCACAGCCCAAGGCCCCGGTTCCATCCTCACAAACGCCCCAATTATTTCCCGCCGTATAAGTCCATCGCAAAACGCAGTGGATGCAGTTGAGATCAGTGGGAAGTTTCACGGTTACTGGGATATCACCGGTGGTTGTGTTGATGCTGTATTTCTGGCTTCCATCGACAAAATTCAAGGGATACTGGTTGAAGCAATTTTCCGACTCGCTGCCATTTTCATCTATATTGCAGATGTGGAACCGGAAATAGCCCAGATGATTTGTTGTAATCTTAACACTAATTTCTGCCTCGGTAACGCCGGCATAGCTCTTCACGATCACTCCACTGCCATATTTTCCGCCCAGCTCATTGGGGCGTGGCTGATCCAAACTCCAATCGTCTCCACAAAGTCCACAGTTTCCACCATTTTCGGTTTGTTTCTAATAGATTAATGCATTAAATAGGATCGTCAAGGATCGTTCTTCAGTCAATCTTACCCATAAGCCACCGCAATATAAAGAATTATCATCGTAATTTGTTGGCGCCGACGAATCGTAACGCCAGCGTGAAGACCTCCCTGCAGGATTCAACATCATGCCATGGCCCTCCAATTCACTGAGATAGCAGAAAATTCCTAAAACTATAACAAGGATCCCCTCGAAGAACTGCATTTCTCTTTCACTTTGACTTTCTTTTTGGTCTGTGACAATCTGGCCCAGTTCTTATATAGTTTCATATTCGCAATCCTTATCACCCACCGGGAGGTTTATGATTATTTTTGATTTTTCGGCAAATAACCATGAATGCTTCTAATCGCTTAATAATCTTCATTTTGTTTATGATTATTGGTAGTTAAAATTTGGGAGAATTTGCAGTTTTTGACCTGAAAATTGGCAAAACACCAATGACACATTGTATACCAAAAGTATTTTTTATTGGACTATTTCTGTTTAACCCACCAATGACAAGTTGATAAGAGTTTAACACTTTGGGAATATTTTACGTTCACACCAAAATTGTTAACCAAGGTTAAAATGTCTCAAGTGCATAAGCTGGAAACTTGTGGTCGCCAGAGACTCTTACGACTTGTGGTCATTATAGTGCGAGGTCATTGCGAGGGTCCTTGCAAGGTGCTTATTGCAAGGCTCATTGCAAGGCTGATTGCGATGGACCTTGCAAGGCTCTTTGCGAGGGTCCTTGCGAGGTGCTTATTGCGAGGCTTATTGCAAGGCTGATAGCGGTGGACATTGCAAGGCTCTTTGCAAGGCGCATTGCGAGGCTCATTGCGAGGATCATTGAGAGGCTCTTTGCGAGGTGCTTTAAAAGGCTCATTGCAATGCCCACTGCGAGGGTCAGTGCGAGGCTCGTAGCGAAGCACTTTGAGAGGCTTCCTTTGCGGCTTATTGCGAGGCTTATTGTGAGACATTGCTTTTGCTGTAAATTAAGGTAAAGAATAATGACAAATTGTGTCTAGTGAGTATATATTTTAAGAATGGGAATATATTTGAGTTTATATCGTGATATGTACATTGTACATTAGGGTATTCCAAAAAATATTATCTTGTTCTCAATATGTTCGGTTGATAGTGCACTGGCCTTTAAGTTCCCGTACAAATTACTCATACAAAATGTTTTCCCCTTAGATATTTGATCAGTAAATGTGTCTCCCATTTCATATTTTTAAGCACTATAACTATGCTTTAAAGTGATAAAATAAAATATAGAAATAAAAACAAAGCCGTTTAAAACTAGAACACAAAAAATGAAAATCTTTTACTTTTAACCCATCTGTACAATCTTCAATTTCTTTTGGAAATAAAATCTAATCAGCTGCTACAAAGTTCGGACTGAAATGTTTGAGGTCGCAGATAGTGTAGGTATACCCGAAATAATAAAATTCCGTTTCAGTTCAGTCGCTATTCATTCACAAAATGTTGAGGTACTCAACTATTTTATTGTGCGTACTTCTAGCCATTTGTCCTTGTGGAATCTTTTCGAATAGAATTGACAATGGAGAATGGGGACCCGATCGTTGCATAACTTTTTTGCAACCGTTGCTGGATCATGTTTATGAGTATGAAAATCGGTGGAAGACTTGCGAGGCCAATCAACTGGCATCTCAGTAAGACCCGCCAAAGAAGGACATCCCAAAGAATTTCGAAAAGATCGGCTCGAGGTACTTCTACATTGAGGAATTCTACCAGAAGAATTGATGGGCTGCAGCCAAAACTTGTCGCCAGATGGGCGGGGTCTTGGCAAGAATTCAGGACGACAAGGAGCTGACAGCCATTAAGCGACACTCAAAACGAAAACATATGGAGCACTACAGGCTGGACATCAACGACCTTGCCGAAGAGGACAGATTCGACAGATTACCCCCTATTTGAAATGGGCTTCGACTGAGCCAAATAATTTAAATAACAATGACCACTGCGTTGACCTCTATGCTGAACATATGTACGACAACAAATGCGAAAAAAAATACTACTATATCTGTCAGGCAGATTAGAATAAATTAATAAAATTATATTTTATATAGAAGTAAGAAAAACTGGGAACTGATTACATTAAAGTGCTGCTATTTTTTAAATATTTTATAGGATATCTCTCGAATGCCTCTAAAATAAAACCAAAAATCATATAAAATGCAAAGATACAAAAGCCAATCATACGTTTCTTGCTTTTATAGCACATTATCTTATTTATTTAAACAAGCATCTCGTTATAAATAAAACTGTTGTGTACAATTTGTTTGTGTTGCGCTGCCATAATATAAATATACACATATAACGTTTAGCATACACATTTTACAAAGTTTTCCCATGGTTGATGGTAGATGGTTTCAATTTTTTCTTGGAGCTAATATATATTTTTTATTTAAAGTAAAATTACAACTACATATAGTCTTTCGCTTTCCTCGTAAATAAACATAAATAAAATAAATGTATTTTGTATATAAACATTGAAACACGCTGTCTTTGCCGTTTTCTTCGATTTATTCTTCGTCGTTTGCTCCTTTTTTTTTGACACTGAAATCCTTACCAGCCCCTAAAAATTTCAGTTGTTTTTTTCTTATATTGAATGTTTATGCCATTAGCATGAAAATTGACTGCTTGGTATGTGTAGACATTTATCAAACATTTTATACAATTTGCGAAAGTAATTAACATTCATAAGTAATTCATGTGTTGTTGTTGTTGCTGTTGATGCTGCTGTTGTTGTTGCTCTCGTTTTTGAGGTTAGTTCTAGTTGTTATTTTCGCTGTAGATTGTGGATATGTGAATTTTGGTATTTTTTCACGTCTTAGTTCAGTGCATTAATTTCGGCGGAATTGGCCAAAGGATAATCCAGTTCACCCAGTCGAGCAGTCGGTCGTCGTGGTCGATTGAACTGAAGTCAAAAAATATTTCTATTATTATTAAAACCTTCAATAAAAAATCCTAAACTAATTCTATTAATTTGATTTTAGCTATTATTGTCTTTTAAATTTTTTACTAATACTTTTTAGACTACGAAAAGTGTTTAAAAGATATGTTTTATGTTGGTAAATTAGCTATAAAAAAGGAAAGGCACTTACCCATGATCTCATGATTTTGTAGAGCACCTGACGGGCGGGATAGTCATTAAAGTCGGCCTCGGGCGGCACCGCAACCTGTTCGTTCGGCGCCATCATGGGCAGCAGGCCATTTGGACGCACATAGTCCTGTTCCTGCCCCCCGGAGGCTGTCTCGCCCATTCCCACTCCCGTTCCGGACCCGGATCCGGTGCTCAGGGAACGCTTGCCATGACCTCCGTAGCAAACATGACCGTAGGCCTGGCATCCCTCTGCAAAAAGATTGAATAAAAATAGTCAAGCACAGATTCCATAAACTAAAAGCTCTTAAAGAGGATAAATTAAAAATAAAAACATACGATACTTTTTTTACGCTTTTAATGATTTAATAAGTTTACAGTATATTTTTTTAAACCTTAAACTACGAGCTTTTAAAAAGATTAAATTAAAAATAAAAATCATATGTTATAACAAAATAAATAACCAATACCTACCAATTTTTGTACGCTTTTAATGATTTAAGAAGTATACAATATTTATTTTATACAAGGATCTAAATTTTAGTTTACTAAATAATCAAAAAATTACAATTTCTGTTTACATTTAATTGCAAGCAAAAGCACTTTAAATTGTTTCCTAACAATAACTATAAGCACTTATTTAATTGTCCATCTTCAATTATCTCTTACCAGTCATAAAATGCCTAAAAATAGGAAATGTCACTGTCCTGGTACTTAATCGATATTGGGAACCCCCTTATTAACTTTGTGACCCTGCGTGTGCATTTCGGAAACCACCCCCAATGTTTTCCCATTACTGGGAGATAGACTCCTCATGTGGATTTCTTTACTGCCAAAAATCTTTAATCGCTCGTCCAAAGCTCAAGAGAGACATCCGGCGATAACCATTTGACCCAATGACGGTTCAGTTTCATTTTGTTTGCTCGCCAGCCTGTGTGTGAACAAACTTTTGACTTTCTGCTGTTTTTGAATTTCCGCCCACACGGGCAACATAAATTTTCCTGTTGCACACTTGGGAGTTTTCCTTGACACACGCAGGATTTAAATGGAGGTGGGGACTTTCCGGCAGGACTTTGCTTAGCTGATGAGTTTCTGTAATCTCAAAGACTTTGGCTGATTAAAATAACCCTATCGAATTTTAGTTCCTCCTAGTCATGGTAGTTGTCATATTTTAAATTTGCTAACTAAAAAAGTGAATTTAGTCTACACATGACTTTCCTACAAGATATACCACATTTTGCATTTTTAAAGGATAAGGATAAAAGGTACACAAACTTTTTATTACTTTTTTAGTACCTACAATGTTTATCAAAAATAAATATTATTTTAATAAAAAGTCGAAATTAAATACACATGTTTATTTTAAATTTTGCCCTTTGGCTGTTTTTTATTTTTACGTTTATTGGGTATCTCTGACTTCCTTGTTTACCCGCCTTACAATATTGCCCAAGTAATCGCTTGGGGAGCTCTAAATATGTTAGCCTTGCCAACATCTTAAATGCCGTTTCAAAGGCAATCGAATCAAAAACTTTTGGTAATAAAGTAAATGGGAAATTAGATGGGTTTTGGATGAAAGCGGATGACTTGAAGGCACCGTTCCACGAGTCACTTGACGTTCACCATTAATAATTTCAAGGAAAATGTTGTCGTACATTGCTCGTGTGTCTGGGATAGTTGCAACTTACTTGGGAAATGGAAGTAGCTTTCAATTTTCCCCTTGTTGTTGATATTTGACGTTCCCACAGCTGGAAAAACATAGAAGCCAGTTTGTTTGCGTTGCATTAAACTGCAACAATTGATGCTTCCTCGATGGGCGGGTGTTCGGATATCGAGTCACCCTTTCGACGCCCATTTATGGCTTTGTTTTTCGCTCTTCCATATAATGAATATATCATGTTCAAAGTTCACCTGCATAAAGTTACCTGCCGGCTTTAAGGGCGAGCTCTCGAGCGAAAGCAGGTAATACTTAAAAGTTAATAATGTAAAATAGCATTTAAAATGGCTAAAGTATTGAACACCAATATACCTTATAAATAAGTAAATTTAATATTGTAAAATAACATCTAACTTGGTTGAAGTAACCAAAAAACGATGTTTTTTTAAATAAACTTTATCCTAAAAACTGCGTAACACAAAACAAAATATGTATGAACCAATTCCTTTAATCTTGTAATATTTAATATTGTGATCGAATTTAGTCAAGATAGGATTTTTTTAACAGTCTCTTAATATTTCATATTATTTTTGAAGCTATGCTATAATATTTAAACTTTAAATTAATAAGGTCTCCAGATTTTTGTAAATATTTTTTTTGACAATACGCTATAGAAAGTACAATAAATCTTAATTTAACATAGTTCCTAAAAACAATTCCTAAATCTACTTAATTAAATAGCTTGAGGCTAGTAAATTGGTGCAGGTGTACTCACTTTTCGCTTGGCTCTGTTGCGCGGCCAGGACCACGGTGCAGATGACGACCAGCAGCAAAGAAATGGTGGATTTCATGATACCTGCAAGAAATCATAGCAAAAACAAAGGGATGAGCACCTGTTGAAGTCTGGGTCTGGTTTTCTGGCAATGACATTGTGGCTTTTCCCCGAGGGGCCCTCTACACTAATTAGGAAATCCGAAAACAGCGCGGCGAGCGAGTTGAAATCGATTCCGAATCCGAGAGACCACCTGCAGTTAAGAAGCTAATCCTGGGCCGCAAAAACTTTTGAACTTTGATTTATGTAACGCCCATACAACACACAAAGACAATTAGCCAGGATGTGGGTATGTGACTTGAGGGCTAAAAGGTGGAATTTCCGCATAGATTTGTTTATTACGTGCTTTGAATTTTCTATGTGTTCATCATCTTACGGACATCATAGCCAAGAATATTCATAGATAAAAGATACATAATTTAAATGGCTGGGATCTGCATGCATATCCCTTGAAATTCAGTTTCTGTTTTTGTCTAAGAGCTAAATTAAACCGATTAAAATTTGGCAACAGCTGATGCTCCTTCATCACATCAATCATACGCCATGTGTTCGCAATTAAGTATGTTATTAAATAGAGAACATGGGTTACAAAAACCAAACAGACTAACAAAAAAAATGCTTAATATTGATATATGGAAAATTTTAGCAAATATTTAAATTGGAATAGTAATATTTTGTGGGAAGATATTCCGAGAAATAATAGCTGATGATAGGAACACCCATCAATCATACGCCGTGTGAGCCTTATGTATTTTATTATTGAAAACCGAACCTGGTCGCGTGTCGCCCTTAACCGCAGTTTGAATAACTCACCTTAATCAGACTGATTAGCTGATCTGGGCTTTGTGCAATTTATACGGCAGTTTTCTTTGTTTCTCGTTTGTTACAGGGACTATCAGTTTTAGATTTAATTAATTTTTTTTTTTGAGTTAGATGGTCACTATATAATCACAGATATGGTTGGGGCGGATGTTTTTGCCAATTCTCGTTCAATATGGCAATTCCACCCGGCGAATCCCTGAGCGCGATTTCACATTTTCAAGCTCGCGCCAGCGACTGAGGCCGATCCGCAAAGTTGCCGGGTCTATATGCCACAGCGAAATCTCGACCCGCTGATAAACGGCGATCTTGCCCGTAATCTCCAATCAATCCGTGTCACGCGTACTTACGCCCACACTTTTCCATTTCCCATTTCCACCCCTCAGGTCTCTGGACTATTTTCAGTCACTGGTCGGGCTAAATTTACGACCGGCCGATAAGTGAAAATTAATATGTAGAGCGCTACTGGCAGGCCAATAAAAATCAACACAATAAATGCAGCGGCGGCCCACGCAGTGCGAAAACAATAACAGCATTCTCATTACACGAAAAAAACATACATAATAATTGTTTACCAAGGCGCAGGGCCGTGCCAACACTCGACCCTTGGGCTTATCAATTTTCCCAGCTATTTAGTTGTGATAATAAGGCCTTAATGAGCTGTTGCTGCCACAACTCTGTCACTAATACCCGTCCCGAGGATCGTAAATCGCGAGCTGCGAAAACTTTCCACAGGTGCTGGTGTTCCCTCTAATATTCTAGTTTACACTTGGAGAACTAAGCTGATGGTTAAAAAAAATATTTAAAATATTTACATCAAGACTATTTGCTTGAAACATTTTTTATAAGTCGTATTTGGTTTCTAAGTTTTAAAAGGTTATACAAGTAACTTATAAGTAAGTAACCATTTATCCTTTTTTGTTCATCTTTTAGTTTTCGAATTTTTAATTTGGAATATGTTAATTTCTATTTAGGAATATTTTCTATAAATTTTGAAAATTTTTTAAGTACCCTAGCTAATGCAAAGTTCACAAGCTGCCGACCGATCGGTTTCCGTGTGAAATTCTCTAATCACAGGCTGATAATCCTCGCAAAGACAAAAACAAACAGCTGCGAACCAGGTCATCCAATGAAAGCGTGCCTTTGCCACAAATCGCTTCAAATCGGATCAGATCAGATTGTTCTCACCGCGATAAGGAGATTCAGAACAATCGGCAATAGATTAAGTTTAATACGTCAAGTGGAAGGGGGAAGTCGGGAAAATCCAATTAAAGTCAGGTCAAGAGTTTGAGCTGTTTTCCGCGGTCTGGCAAAGTCGGCAGCCAAGTTGAAAGTTAACAAAAAAGTCGGCTTGTGGAAAGTTAAGTTTGTGGTATGTTGAATGTTGTATGGGCTACATAAAAATGATGTCCTTATATGTCATTTATGTATTGTGATGAAATGTTCATAAATATTTTTAGCTTTATTAAATGTTTCCCTTTAAAGTTAGAAAATACTTAGTTTTACAGGCAACAAATTTTTCCTTGGATTATGATTTATGTTTATAATTTTTTTATTATTCTCTTGATGCTTAAGAATTCCCTAAACTGTTTATAACAACATCTTTAAACAAGATTTTATTCCCAATGGGTATCATATTTTATCTCCAAACGCAAATGCTCGCCTGGGAAAGGGAAAACGCTTTAATCCAGTTAAAAGTTACCAAGTTCTGATTTTCAACAGCAACAAGTTGCCTGAAAATGTTCATCCCTCTGTTTTTCTCCGCTTAGGATAATTCATAATTAATACAGCTGCTTAAAGGAAGCTCTTGAACTTTAATATCTTTTTCACAGAGATTTTTAACACAGGTTTAAAGATTCTTCTTTGGCAGGGCGTCTAGCCAGAAGCATTTGAGTAGGAGTTATTAAATATAAATCAAAGCGGATACGGAAGCAGCAAGGCCCTGGAGGTACTGAAGGTACGGAAATCGACATAATTATGACTCCAAAATCTAATTTGATACAATTATATTAGACAAATAAACAAAAGTGGGCAAAGTCAAAACCGTACCATGGGGCATTTGGAAATTAGTTGACTATGACAAGTGGCTAACAATTAAAGTCAACAAATGTAAAGGAGGTAGAGCGGTTATACTAAGTGATTACCTATAACTTTTTAAATTGTAATATATAAAGTGACTTCATTTAATGAAATAGAGAGAAAGTTTAACTATTTCTGATAAAGTCACTTTATAATCCTTAGATTCCTTATAGTCCTTTAAATTAGGTAGACATTTTTTCCAAGGTAAAATGTAAATTTATTTCAAATTAGTTCTTTACTTTAATTATAAGAAGGAAGGTGCTAAAATTATTACAACCATATTTTCAGGCAGGATATTATAATTATTTGATTAATTATATTATTATAGTTATTGGACATTATACCCAATAACAAGTCCTTTGACTTTTTATAGTTTTTGGATCAAACACTTCGGAACAGTTTCAAAATTATTAGATGATTTTTAACGTAATTAGAAATTAGTCCATGTGTACTAGTGTTTTGTAGTGAATTTTAGGACACAACCTTTTTAACACTTTTTGGCCAACTCGGGCGGCACTTACTTGCACTTGACTGGTGGGCTGCTGTACGAAACAAATCCTTGTCTTTCGTCCTGGTCCTCGTCCTCGTCCTTGCCAGATGAATTCGCTGGGCTGTCGCTGTTGATGCTGTTCGATTGCAAGCCGGAGTTCTTTTGGGGCTTCCAAAAGAAAGTCGGCCAGCTTTATAGCTGCAATATTGGCTCCCAGCCCTGTACGTGTGTGGGTGTCGTTGTGTATGTGTGTGTGAGCCAAGAGACAGCCAGCCAATCAGAGGCGACCAAAAAGCCGAGCGGTACACGAAGCACATTTGCCCAGAAGTATGCAGCGATATTTTTGGCTGCTCGAAATTTCACTTTGTGCGTGGGTGCCAAAAGTCGAGCAGTGAAAGGGGAAAAAAGAAAGGGGGGAAATGGGGGCGTTAAGGTCGCTTCGGGGAACGTCAAATTAGCAGCGCGCTCAGATTTATTTGCTCGACATCGCAGAAGCCAGCGGATATGAATGAATATGAGTTCCCATCATTGGCAGTCAAGAGTGCCTGCTGACGTAGTTGCCAAAATCGCTATATGGACCCTAAACCCTCCTTACATTCCCAATAACACCCATTTACCTCTAACTCTTAGCTGCCCAAAATCCGCTCAGAACTTTATTAGGCCCAAATCCAATTGACCAAGTCCCCAAACGAAGCATTAACAGATTCTCTTTGAGCTGGTCATGCATTTTAATTTTATTTATATTGGTTGTCTCTTACCCAAGAAACTGTGAGGCCACATTTAGGGATTTTTAAGTTTAAGAGAGTAAGCTAAGGGATTTTTGTTCTAAAAAAAAAACCCAGTTTTTGTTTAAATGATTTTCCAAAAGTTACAAAAGTTAATCTGTTTTTCATTTTTTGACGCCTTGGTTTTAATTTGATTTTATTTTCTTTTTTTTTATCGAAAAAAGATTTTAAAGGTTAGATTATTGTCAAGCAAAAATACTTACATATTTTTAACTCTAAAAATAAGGTCACTAATGTTGTTCATTATACATTATGCCTTTGACCTTTTATAAATAAATAGTTAAATAAAGGCATTCGAATCAATACCCTCTCTGCTTTTTTAAGTCCTTAAATGGTAAATTAAACATTTTTCAACTTTTAGACAGTTTTTTTATTATCTTTTCAAACTTGTTATTTATACTAACCATTTATAAAAATAACCAATTTATAAAAGTTAATGTATTTTTTCGATGCTCAGCATTTTGCTAAATAATACTACTAAAATAATATTTCAAGCAAGATTAGATTCCTAACATGACTTATTCAAAAAATCACCTGGTTCAGCATTTAATATATAGATTTCTGAATAACAGTGGCTGTTGATTTGAGGTGCAGTCAGAAATTCGAAGTTTTCCCCTGGGTCATCAAATCGTGTTTGCACATCAACAGCGCGAGCAAATTGATTCGCCAATGACTTGTTTACAACAATTGCCGCCTCCACCTCCGATTCCATGTCCATCTGGTGTAATCTGACCGCTTGAATGCGATTTAGCTACTGTTTAGCCTGTTGCTACAGTGAATATCCCCTATCTCGCCCATCTCCCCCGCAGCTTATCGCCGTGCACCAAAAACAAATTAGCCGATAAGCAGCTGACGGTGCTCGAACGCCCGGCGATCAAAATATTTGACAATAAACACAGAGGCAGAGGTCCCACAATCGATGAATTTGCCCAACGATGATGATTATTTGTCATCTGGACAAGGCCCAATCTTTATCAGCGAGCATCACTATGACCGACTTTTAAAACGGGTCTTTAAACCAACTTGATCGTGAAGTTATGGGAAATCTCTTAGATAAGGAAAATAAATATTGTTATAATATATCATAATCTCTTTTGTAAGTAAACAAATAAATTAGGATTCAGTTTGATAAGTTAATGAAAAGGAAGCACAGCATTATAAAAAACGATTCTTAATAAAGGTTATGTTGTTAACTATACCTTAAGACAATTTAAAATTGCACCTATAAATAATTTAAACATCCTTTTCATAAAGTAACTTGTCTTGTGTGACAAGCGCAATAAATATACAAATAGAAAATAGTGACTTTCTCATTTGAGCTAACAATGTTCTTACAAATAGAACGACATTTTTTGAAGTTGAAAATGTTTTCATTTTGGTCGAATCGAGTTAAATTTGGCGGTATTTATATTGAATATCCCAACAAATAAATTATTAGTCCAGTCACTAGTGTATTCTTATCAAAAAGTGGTCACATAAACTCAATTTAACTTTTTTTTTCTAGCCATTTTGTTATAATATTGAGACTATTGATACAAAAATTTACTTACACGGTTTTTAAGAACGAATGTTCTTAATTCAAGAACATGTGTACTTGAATATATCACTCTGTGTACATTTTAAATTTGCGGCAATAAGGATAATATTATATGTTAATAAACAAATAAGAGCTCCCTCTCAGATAAAATCGCACTACCTCAATTTTTTGTAGTATATTTCATTCAAGTGATAATATTGTTTCGAATCGTGTGAAAAGGTCGTTTAGCTTTGCTGGGTAGTCCTGTTTACTTCTTCTTCAGGAAGGAGCTGACGACGGCTGGAGCGGAGTAGGTGGTGATGGGGGCGGCGAAGGCGTGGCCAGCGGCGTAGGTGGCAACCGGAGCGGAATAGGCCAAGGGAGCCCTGTAGGCGGTATAGGAGGGAGCGACAGCGGCGTAGGTGGAGTAGCCAGGAGCGGCATAGGTGGAGTATCCTGGAGCGGCATAGGTGGAGTATCCAGGAGCGGCGTAGGCCACGGGAGCAGCGGAGTAGGTGGCGGCGTAGGCCGGAGCAGCGGCATAAGTGGCCACCGGGGATGCGAGGTAACCAGCCTGGGCGGCGGCGATGCAGAGAATCAAGCCGATGAGGAACTTCATAGTGATTTGGTTGTTTGGGTTGGTTGTCTTGTCAGTGACTGATGCTGTTGGCCTTCTCGACAACCGTTTTATAGGCATGGGTTTGCAAACGCAAAATCTTAATTAGAACACAATTGTCAATGAAATCATTTTTCTGCTGACTAACGTTCACTGAATATTTGCCATTTTATTAGCAACGGACGGCGTTTCAAATGGTTCACCCATTATATTTCTATAGGTTCTCAATTGTGGCTTAAAAGATTTCTTTGTCATAAATTAGATGCTGGTTATACGATAAGCTCAGTATTTATTTAATAAAGTTAGGTTTTAATAATTGTTAGCATCACCGAGAATTAGAAATAAATGACATCTTTGCATATTTAAATAATTTAATTGCAAAGCTAACTTGTTTATTTTTATAAGGCACTCCACATTGGAATATCAATAACATTTTGACAAGTACATTAGCCAATCGTTTTTTTTAATAGTTAGGACTTGAACATATAATGTCCAAAGCAGATAAGTAGTTGCCACCTACTCAAGCGAAAACTGGAAAAGATTAATCCATTTGACACGCGGCTGGTTGGTAATACCCAAAGTGCGGCTTCCGCGTTCAACGAACATTACGCGCCAGAAATCTCGAAGCGGACGCAATTGTGTTCTAATTAGGCTACTCAGATTCGGAAACCCGTTTGGCATATTGGCGACAATTGTCCTATAAAATGGTCCAACATTTTGGCCAACAGCATCAGTCACTGACAAGACAACCAACCCAAACAACCAAATCACCATGAAGTTCCTCATCTGCTTGGCTCTCTGCATCGCCGCCGCCCAGGCTGGTTACCTCGCATCCCCGGTGGCCACTTATGCCGCTGCTCCGGCCTACGCCGCCACCTACTCCGCTGCTCCCGTGGCCTACGCCGCTCCAGTAACCACCTATGCTGCTCCTGGCTACTCCACCTACGCCGCTGTCGCTCCCGCCTATACCGCCTACAGGGCTCCCTTGGCCTATTCCGCTCCGGTGACCACCTACGCCGCTGGCCACGCCTTCGCCGCCCCCATCACCACCTACTCCGCTCCAGCCGTCGTCAGCTCCTTTCTGAAGAAGAAGTAAACAGGGCTTGCCCTTTGTACTTTACGATCCACTCAAGCAATTAAACAAATAAAATACATTTATCATAACAAGCCAATCAATTTTTTGCTGATTTTACTTTACTACTTATACTCGAAAAGCATTTAATTTTAGATATAATGGCGACCATTTTTTTATATTTAACAATATTATACCATTTAGTAAATTGACATTATTTAAGCAATGTATTTTTTATTGCAAGTAGATATTTAATTATATTTGTAAAAAAAATCGACATTGCTTCCAAATGTGTAAAATTCAGTTTAAATACTTTTTTGAGTGTATGTGGTGGTCTAACTGATCTAAACGATCATTTTGTTATAAAATAGGCAATCGGCTTTGAGCCGCAGTACTTTAGTATACTTTCCGGCGGAACAATATTAATATGGGTCTAGACTCTAGACTCTAGACTCTAGAGTCTAGACGATGACATGTTGCTTGTAATTTGCACGGAGAAGCTTATCGATGTGTTGTACGCCGTACGTGTGCCGGCAGAGGCTGAGAAGAGCTATTCCCTACGTCCGCTACATTGTTAGAGATGGTGCAAAATAAAGGTAAATATATGAACCTTTGTTAGCATTTAACTAAAGTATATTATTACCTGTAAACTTAACAATTTAAATTATCATTTAAGAAGTAGAAAATGCCGTAAGTTTCTTGTTTTATTTTAAATTTATTAAGTTGTTACATTTAGATCGGCTCTTGCAAAACTAATTTCATTTCTGATACACATATCGAGCTGCATAATTGGACGGCTTGCGTTCCAGTTGGCCTAAAAAACAAACCAACAAAAAATTCAAGAGTAAGGCATAGCATTAAATGTTGAGATTGAGATTCCCGATTTGGCCAGAGGTCTGAGCTGAGTTGGAAGAGTTGTGTGTTGGGGAAATCAGAGACAGTTAAGGGTTGAGCCTAGCTTGGCTTAGCAGAAGAGGCGTAGAAACCATAGACCCAGCAGGGAGCTAAGGATGGCGCTTACGCTGGCCAGGGAGGGGGTGGAGGCTCCGTTGTGCGCGTTGCAGATGCGGGGCTGCGGGGCGGATACGTATTTGCAGATGGTGCCCACGAAGTTCACCTGGGCGCGCTCGTTAACATTCTTGTCGAATTGCTGCAAATGAAAAAATACACAAATTATTAAAAAATATTTAGTGCCTTAAATAAAATATCTTCATATATTAAAAATCTTTTTTCAATTTAAATGTTGAATAGGGCTTCTTTTATAGAATGTATCTCATGGAAATAAAATTTAATGCGCTATCTTGCATAGTGAAATTATGAAACGTGGGATTGGGAAACTATCTTTAGAAAGTATCTATAAAATAAAATGTATTAAGTTTTAACAATAATAAATAATATATAGATTTCACAATTCTAAATAACATATCTTTATATCGTAAATAACATTATTAATTTAATTGTTGAATTTATAAATGTAAATAAAATGTAAAAAGCAATTTTGTAAAGAGAAAATATTAAACGTGGGATTGGGAAACTATCTCTAGAAAGTATCTATAAAACATAATGTTTAAGTTTTAAAACTAAATCGATAAATTTAAAAATAAACGCACAATGGTAAATACAATTTGAATAATTCCCAATATGATGAAAGTGAGTTTAAATTTTAATTGTGATTGGACATGTTATTACATCAATGAAAAATTCTATTCCTCAAAAAAATATTCTATTATTTAAGAAGTAAATACTAAAAACTGAGATAAGAGCTTAACTCTTTCAATAGGTTTTAAGGAATATTTCCAAATCACATTCTTATATTTGATATACTATCAATTACTGACCTCGTTGAACAAGATGGTGGGCACGCTGGTCAGGGGTTCCTTGAGGCGGTTGGTGGCCTCGCCGGCCTTCTTGAGAAGGACGCTGCCCTCGGTGCTGTTGGCGCAGGTCTTGATGTTCTCCCAGTTGTTGATGTGGTTCTCCGAGGCACAACGCTGGCCAGGATAGACGTTGTCCGGGAAGTTCTTGCCGGCCTTCATCAGGCAGTTGATGAAATCGATGGTGAGGGACTCGCGTGTGAACTCCACCTGGTAGGAGTTGGCCTGGATGTGCTCGATGGCGCAGGCATGCACCTTGTTGCCATAGCACTCGTTGGGGCCGTGGTGGCAGGTGAACGTCACCTCGGCGCCCTGGGTGGTGAACTGTGGAGCGGGGAGCGGGGAAAAGAGCCATGCAAATGAGCCATTGTCCTGCCGACAAACGGGGCTAAGGGCCACTCACCTGAGACTTTCCGAACGGCACGAAGGTGAGGTCCACCACATCGCGCAGCTCTCCCTTGACCGCCGGGTACAGCTGCTCCGTAATGAACTTGGCACTGTCCGGACACAGGGACTCGTAGTAGACGGCAATGGGCACCTGCAAAGTGCAAGAAGGTATGGTAAATTAAAAAAAATATATTTTAAGCTTTTAAAAATTGGGGTTGGATTCTCGAATTTGCATTTTTCGAGAGTGCAGCCAAGCTGAGCCATGCAAATCACATGTGGCTGAATGGACAGGGTCCAAATATGTTTAGTCTTTGTTTATCAATTGGGGACAATTGGCACATGCTCCATTCAACAAGCCAAAATATTGTTGAACTTGAACCGGCGAGCATATGAATATTAAAGATAAGAAGAATGATATGGGGTGAAATGCTGACTTAATACTATGTACTTTTGGGGAAATCAATATGAATCAGCAAATATATACACTAATTTTTACAAGTATTCTTTATCTAATAGTATATATTTGGAATCGAAATATAAATAATTTGCACTAACTGCACTATTAATTAGATTAATCTCATAGAATTTCCAGTGCTTCGCATATATTTTAATTTTAATTTATTATTCCACTAATGACACATGTATACTTATGTGTACATTTGGTTTGGACATGTGCTTTGATATCTTGTGTATACTCCCCCAATTGAACACCAATTCCCAAATGTCGGAATGTATATTAATCAAAATCCCCAAGGCAGGCAAACAATGCTGATCTCAGCTTTAATTCTATTATTGATCAATCGATGTACATATTTATAGTATTTTTACTAAGCTTTTATTCCTCACATCATTAAATGCTTACATTTCAAAGTTACGTGCTTCTAACACAAATGATTATTTATTGGTGTAAGTACAAACAGATGACATTCGTTTAATGTAATTTCAGTTGATTATTTAACCCCAAATTAAAGCTGTGTGTAGATAAAACTGAACAAATTGAGGGGATCGCAGCAGTAGAAATTACATTTTATTCAAATAGTTTTTTTACGACTGAATAAAGCCCAAATGCTTGAACAATGCCAACGAAAAAATATAATAATCACGAATGTGTGTACATTGTACATACTCAAATGCATACTTTTTTTGCTGGAGTTGAAGTTATATAAAACCTAATGACACATCGCTGAAAGAACCCGCCATTCTTCTCGATCTAAACAACAACAGAAGCGGCCAAAGCTGTATATACATCAGTATAGATGTTTGTACCATATGTGCACGGAAAAAAATTGAGATAAACTTTGGGACGTGATAAAAGACATATTTACTTCTAAACATTGTTGTTCAGGTTTTGGTATTATAGTATAATCTATAAGACTCAAAAATTATTATTAATTTTGATGAATATGGAAAAAATCGCAAAATTTAAAGATCATGATAAAAAGGGATAGACTTCCAAAAGAGAATTACTGCGTATATCGATCATAAGTGGTTTTTTTCATTATTCACAGTCCCCGATAAAAAATACTACTTAATTTATAGGTCATCATGATATTTATAAATATATATTTTAGTAAAAAGTATACAAATTGGAAATAGTATAGGTTGATTCCTTAAAATATAACTAGCACCATCACATATTTTTATGATTTGTATTAAAAAAAGTTTCTCAGGTATATTTCTATTGGATAACATGGTTGTAAAGTAATACCTTCTGTAGTGTTAGTAAACCTTTTTTAAGATCAGTTGCATTGATCCAAATTAAGTTCTGTGTAGAATGAAGTTGCAGTTGGGCTGCCGGCTATGTTCACACCGGTTCCCTCTATGAGAAATCGAAACTGGTCTCAGAACCGGTTCTTTGGGCCTAAATGAAAATAACAACAGAGCAACAGGGCGCTCTGTGGCTTATTTATAATGTTAATTATGCTCTATGCTTTTCCACGGCGGCATTTTCCGAGCCGACTGGTGGCACAGTTCGTTAAACTCTCGAAATGCCACTTGTTGCTGCCACGAAAAGGGTGCAGCTTTTCTATGGGTTTATTTTTTGTCGTATACCCACTACTACCACTAGTTAGTTTTTCAACTAAATCACGTCTTCACCCAGATGGTAAATGGGCGTTTCGGTGCCCCTGGCACGCTTTGCTGTTGTGTAATGACTTAGGTTTTGCCTACTAACTTATGTGGGTTTTTCCTAAGCCAAAAAACTCACCTTAGCAGCACTATAAGCAGAGGCAATCAGGCAGCTCATCAGGAGGCACACAGCGGCGATTTTGTGACTCATTTTCTGGCTTCTTGTTGTTCTGGGAACCTTTGGAATTATTTATTTTTTATGTGTATAACGTTGACCACGTAACGAGCTGCAGTCGTGATGTGAGCGGTTCGGTGGCTAAGCGCGAACTGTTGTTTGCTGGAGAGAGCTTAGCGCTATAGACCCAGGCCCCAGTTCCACTTCCACGGCTCCCCAGCGGATTTCCAGACTGGAACGAAGGCGGCTGAGAAAGAGTTAGTCAGACCTGCCTGCATAATTTGGGCTGGGCTTCGTTCGTATGTGTGTATGTATACACGTCAATATTCCAGTGTCTCGATCGGGAGTTATTCCAGTCAGAGATGAAGTTTAAGCTTGGACAAGAGCGAAATGAGAGATGGTTGATGATGGGTTTTGAGATGTTTTCATCTTCGTCAAGTCGAATTTCAAATACTCTTGAGCATTTAAATGGATGTTAAAAACGTTTTGTTTAAATACCAATTTTTATCAACTGAAAAAATATCTTTATCTTTATATCGAGTTTTAAAATTGTGTTCAAGCTTAATATTATCTCACGATAAAAGCATTAAAAAATATTACACTCTAAAAAAGAAGAATTCTAGGAAATTAGCACTAGGGGATTTAATTCAATGTTGAGCCCAGTACTCACTCCCATTAAAAAACTCAATACAAATCTTCATAAAATATTTCCTTCATGAAATTGTTGGCTTGTCATTGTACAAATATTTGTTTTTGATTTTACTACACAGAGAAAATTCTGACGTTCTCATCTGAGTTGAAAATGTTCTTAAAAATATTACGACATTTTTTAAGTTGAAAATGTTTTTATTGTTTACATTGTATGTACAAATAAGCTATTAGTTCAGTCCTTAGTGTATGCTTATCAAAAAGTTGTCAAATGAACTTAATTTAACTTTTTTCTTCTCACCATTTCGTTCTTTTATTGATACCAAAATGAACTTAACCATGTAAGAACGAATGTTCTCATTTCAAGAATAATTTTCTCAATTCAAGAACTATGTTCTTAGATAGTGTACGAGTAGGAGTCATAATATTTAAAAGAAATCATAAATACATTTTTTATTCAACAGAGAATAAAACAGATTGGTATACGTATAATTTATTTACTGTTTTTAATTTATACGATTTTCTTTAGCCTTCAGTTAAAAACCTCGGCACAAATTTTTGTTACCAACTTTCCGCACCTGGGGAAATCAATTCCTAAAAGCCCATTCAAAAAGTGGTCTAGAGTACATTTGCTTGAATTTTTATAAATAATGGAATTACAGATAAACATGCACAAGTCCTGGGAGGTGGAAATCCCGCTCCCTAATCACGAAACCGAAATCCTTTGGCGATTAAATCCTTGCGAGCCTCCAGAATTTCTTCCTGAAGCTCTTTGGCGGCCTCGGGACAATCGTTAAATGTGAGAGTTCTATATAAGACAGTCCAAACGGAATAGATCTGGGGGAAGGATATTATAAAAATTAATCATCCGTGTTATCTAAAGCAATATTTCCAATAACTTACGCCGAAAATCACGAGGAATAAAAGAGGTAAAAGCTGAATATGCAGGAAATATTTGCTTGTTAATTGCGTTTGCACAGCTCCCAAAACAATTGAAAGATAGGGCACCGCAAAGAGCGATGCGTAAAACAGCCAGCGTTGCAGATTTGTCATATTTTATAAATTTTAATGATAAACAAAACTAAATCCAAAATAAACACGTAAACATTGGAGTGTGACCGCGGATCAATCGATTAAATATACCGCCCGGCAATGGGAAATATACCACTTTTATTTTATCGAACATACCAAAAATATTTTTACGGTCACACTGAAAAATCGATATTTTCCAATGTCAATCGAATGTTTTCAATATATAATAAGCAATATTCAAATTAGCCTCTTGAACTTCGTTTAGTTTCCAATCAGAATAGTCGATGATGTAGTGTTACCCTTGAGCGATCGATAAGAAATACCAAATTAAGTGCCATATCAGTCACCTTTGCACAGTTAGCAATTCAAATGCGAGTTATCGATATACTTTGTTTAAAACTCGTTAAATCTAAGATTTATTTAAACGTTGGTGGGCATGCTTTCCGTAGCGCCCACTGTGCACGGCGTATTGGCAAGTAGGTCAGCCGTTCGGCAGCCAATTATTTGGAACTTGACCTCGTTGTCGGGCAAAGTGTCGCCCACAAAGAGTTTTGGCTGACTGCTCAAGGCCCAGAGCTCCTCCTCTCCCTTGGAATTTCGGTTGATCTTGAGGCCCGTGACGAATCTGATCTTGTGGGGATTGTAGGCCACCACTTGAAGGTTGTCCGCCGTGTAATTGGAGCCACTCCCACTCTCCTCCCATTTTACGAGGGCACCCAAACTGATGAGGCTGCAGAAGAGATTTCCGGACTGGTCCATAACCTCCGATTCACATTGAATTCCCCGGGTGCCCAGAATGCGAAAGTGTTTTCCTGTTTCGTTGGAGTTCGGTGATTTCCAAAAGGTTTCATTGTTGATCAGGGAGAGGGGGACCATCACCTCATCGAATGCATTCAGCGTGTGGAAGTACAAAAAGCGCTCTGTAAATACACAGTAAATAAGGGTAAGTATTAACTTTCAATTTAGACACTGATCAAAAAATGGAATAGTTAAAGAAAATATCTGCAAATATAAGATTTTTAAATTAAATGCCACAATATAAAATGTAACAGAACACCAAATGAAGTAAAAATTAATTTGAAAATATTATATATTATATTCTTTAAAACTTTGAGGTCATACAAAAGGTGTTTCATATAAAAATAAAAGGATAAATTCTTTCATTAAGTTGTTCAATTTAATATCTCCATATTTAAAATTAGTAAAAACCACAATGGTTAAAAAACATAACTTATTATTATGTAAATTTGTTAAAAATAAAATTGATACGGAATTTTACTGAAACGAATAAAATCTTTTTTGAATATTTTAGAATCTTGAAATTATTTCATTTACTATTTCAAACTTTTGCCTAAACTCCAACACTTTTTTTGGTTTTCCGGAATAACGAGGGTATTTCTTACCTTCTACTTCACTCGGACTCAAGCTCACTGTGAATATCCCAGCTTGCGAGTTGCTGGACCGGGCCAAACGCACCAAAGGGGGAGAAGGCTTCATGGACTCGTGCTCTATGCGCCAGGATCGACCCGAGAGGGAGTCGAAGACGATAAGGCCATAGCCCCAGGCATCGGCTATATAGGCCCTGCCGCCCACACACCGATTCGGAGTTCCACTCTCCGCCAGATCCACCACCAAAGCTGTGAAAATGGACACACCAGGGGTGTAGGATTCGGGTGGCAGTGAGTGCCGCTGTATAAGCTCGTCCTTGACCAGGTCAAAGGTCATGATCTGGGGCGGACAAAGCTGCAGGGAGTTCACCTGCCCCGAGTCCACCACCCATAGTCGCCAGCATCCGTCAATCTGTGAAGAGAAAAATAAGTAACATTAATATAACATATATAGGCTTACTAAACTTACTAAAACATAAAATATATGTGAAATTAATTATATTAAAATTGAAAAATTTAAATTAAAATTTAATTTAATGAACCATATGGTGTCCGAATTATAAATCATTTGTACCTGTAGCACTAATAGGTATATAAAAGTAGTTTGAATATAAAATATTCACATATTTTTGTCAGTCATATAAAAATTACTCATTGAAATTCGCTTGTTTCCAATAAAAATTGTAATATTCTTGTAAATTATCTGGTTTTCTTATTAGGTTCCTAATAACAATCAAACTTCGTTAAAAATATTATCCAATATTGGTTTACTTTTGAAATATATTTGCTAAAGCGTTTTGCAATTCTTAATATAAAATTTCTGAGGACAAAAAAATATGAAAAATATTCACACGGAGGAGACTGTATGACAACTAATATAAAAGAGTTGTAGCACTCACAAATGTCCTGATGGCGGAGGTAATGCCCGAGCAGTTATTGGGTGGCACATGCCACTCCTTACTTGGATACGCCTCCAGCCTGGGATTCTCCACCACCGCGTTGTCCTTCGCAACCACGGTGGCCAGTGTAAAGGGTGTGGCGATCCCAAGCCGCGGAATTGTGAGGAAGGTGCGATGTCTGCCCTCATCGCCGTACTCAATGTCCACATCCACTGGCAGAAAGCGATTTCCCTTCAACAGATCGTCGCCCAAACTGAGGTTCGTCCACTGGTGGAGAGTGTGCAGCTCCTTGAGGGCCAATTGCTGGCCCTGAACTGCACAGAACAGCCCGAGGAGAATCACTATCATGGCAATAATACTATCTGAGGACCCGCTAAGTGACAGTTCTACGCGCTTCAAACGGTTTCCGAAGACTGAAGATGCGCAGGTAGGCCCTAAAGTTCTTGGCCCTTCGGCGAAAGTACACTTAAAGAAATATATTCGGAACACCAAAGTTTTAAATGGTAAACATAGTTGTGGAAATAAGGGAAACTTATCTTTAACTTGTAGCTCACATATTATTATCACCTGTATTACAATAAATGGAGATATAATATATTCCTTTTGAAGGTATTATCATACCTTTTGTCAGATATTCTTATAGGTAGAAATATGAAATATTTAAATAAAACATTCTGCAATAAATATTAAATCCAAAATGTAATATTAAAATGCTGTTAACATTTAAGTTACAACTGTATATTTATTTTTTCAAGTGTTATTGACCATCAAAATCAAAGACAAAGGTCGTGTACCTGTGGCCGCCGAGCAAACACTTTCGAATAGTCCCAAGATTTATGGCTGGACATCTTTTATGTCGGCTTAAGAGTGTTTACACAGATCTCAAGGGTCTGATGCGTCTAAAAGCATCCCCGCCCCTGCAAAAGGTCTTCCACATCGCATCGCAGCACCCGATAATTGATTTCCCCGTAGTCGATGGTTCCGGCAAATATCTTCTGCAGACGATCCGACAGCAGCCACAGCTCCTCCCTGCCATCCGAAGGTCTCTGTATAATCTTTAGGCCACTGACAAACTGCAGGGTAACCGGATTTAGGGCCAATAACTGGACATTTTCTCGGTTGTAGGGCCTTCGTATGTCCCAGCCAAAAATGCCAATGGGCTCTAGGAAACCGCAAAACCAGATACCCTGTCTGCTGATCGCATGTGAAGCACACTGAATTCCTCTTCTGCCCAGGGTCACGAATTCCGAGAGGGAGGAACTTAGTCCCTTTTGCCAATTTGTGGCATTATTAAGAATATCCAGCGGAATGGCTAGCTCCAGATCGTTGGACAAGGCATGGAAAACTAGATGGCGTCGTAATCCCAGTCCCAAAGGAGTCACCGCCAGGGCCAAAGGTCCATCGAGCAGCTCAAAACTCTCACCTGCCACCGTGTGGGTTCCAAAATTGGCATCAGGATAGGTGAATTTATTCTCAATGCGCCACGAATTTTGACCCACCACATCGTACACCACTATGGCTTTACTCGTAGGATCCGCCAGATAGGCAAAAACATCTTTGCACTGCCCTCTTGGTGGGGGATCCCTAATATCCGCATAGATATTCACAAATCTGCTGACCTTGGCTTTGTAAGAAGTTTCAGGCAGACGATACCGATGGATTAACTGGTCGGTGGCCAAATCAAAGACCACCACTTGCGGTGCACAGTGCTGCACAAACTCTATCTCTCCACTGTCCAGGATCCACATCTGACCACAGGGATCGATGTGAACCCTATAAACGGAGGTCAAGCCATCGCAATTCGCTCCGTGGCTACTGTGCCATTGGTAACTGGGATATGCCTGGATTTCACTGCCGTTTTCCCGCTGCACATTTGTAACGTAAGCCAAGGAATATGGAACTCCCTGGCCAAAACGCGGTGAAGTCACAAAGTGCCGAGGTGGTTCACCATTTCCTAAAAATTGAAAGGTACAAAAATGGTTAAGAAATCATCAAGGATCATATATTTCAAGAGGTTTCATTTTTTCTAAAGAGTTTAAAACATTATAAGCAAAGCATATAAAAAATGCATTCTACGAAAGAAAGGTACATATACATTTAATCACTAAATGATTTTAATCATATACCCAACAAAATATTCACCCTGAACTTTAAAATATTAGAGTAAATGATACTTTTTTACAAATAAGAAAAATTATCTACTCCTAAAGAAAGTGATTAACATAATCCTAAGTCAGAAGACAGTTTTCAAAAATTTAAGATATAGTCTACATTAAATCAGAATTTCTTAAATTCACTGAGAATGATTTTTTTGGGTGTATAAAATCATATTTATGTAAAGCAGACAGCGTAGTAATTTATAAATATAGATTTACCCAAGCCAGCCAATATTTCAAAACAATATTGGCAAATTATCGGTCATTAAAAATCTTTTTTGTGACTCCCCGAAATATTAATACGATGCTTACGTGGGTAATAAACATCGATGTCGATGGGTATGGGACTATCCGGATTATAACGACCATTTCGCAGCACCTGTTCTCGCTCTTGTTCACTGGGGAAACCATATTGCAGGTTCTTCCACTCAAAAACTCTTGGAACATCCTTATAGTCTGAGGGAAACTTGAAATCCGGAAAGACGCGCTTGGGGCGATTAATATGGTACTGAGCCAGGGAAGGATTTGCATAGGAAATCCATAGAATTAAAGATAGGATAAGCCTGATGAGAAAAAACATTGTTATCACCGAATTTTGTAAGAAGTTAAAGAAGTTAAAGGTTTACATTTTCAGGTTTTAAATTGCACAGTTGGTGATCCTTACTCGAGGGCTCTTGCCATCATACTAAACCACCAGACACCAAAAAACCTTACAAATTGTGAGAAAACAAAAACAAAAAGTTATTTAAGGTGGTATATCTTACTTGCTCCAACTGGTTTTCAAAATGTATATTGTATCAGTTTGGTTGTTTATTTTAGCTCATTTCTCTAGAGTCTCATCATCGTACTCTTAGTGAGGGTATTTCCTTTTTATAGCAGCGTTTGTTAAGCCTAAATTTATTTTTGTTTTTATTAACACTTCATGGTTAAGTTTGTCTACTCAGACAATTGAATCCGAAAATGACTAACAGGTTTTGTTGTTATCAAAAAGTCTAGTAAGTCTTACTTAAAGATCTTAAAACAAAATATTTCAACTATTTGAACAAAGTACAAAAGTGTTTAACAGGTAAAATAGTGTTGATTTAATGTTTTGACATTGAATATACTTCGGACTAGTCATGGACTGATTTATGTCAAAGCTCCTATCATCTGTCTTGCTAACCAAGCTTATGAATATCCAAATACCCATGATTCAGCCAGTGGATGTTTATAGTTTAACATCTCAACAAATGAGGGCTACCGGTTCAGTCATTTTTCTTTGGCAGAGGAAACTTACCAACCCTTTGATAATATTAATTATAAAAATATTCTATGATAACAATATGGTAATAATATTCATTATTTTTTTGAAAATGTTATTTATGTATAAATTTTTAATGTTTTAACGAAACTTTGTGGATCGGGCTTCTGGGGCTAGTTTGGGTAAGAGCTTTCGCAAAATACACATGTTAATGGGCTAACATTTTTATTTGACTCTCGTTCATTCATTCGCTAATCTTCGTTTCCCGGTTGTAAGCAACAACGAATTCAAAGAAAGATGTGAAATAAATCATTTTTGATATAAGATTCAAGATATTATACAAGTTTATATACAAACTTTTAAACCAAATTGGATTTGAAAGTAACTCAAGCCACCTTTTTTGGAAGTTCAGAACTATATGTCTCCTATTGATAGCCATTGACAACTTAATGAACTAGTTAACTCACAAAATTATGTTAAGCCCATGCTAAATGAACATTGATCGTTAATGAAAAAATCAATGGGTGTTTATGGGCTTATGATTTGCTGTCTTATTTTTATGCAAAGCAAATTCGTGGGGGGCGCTGGCTGCCAAGAATTAAACCGCAAACCAGAAAAATGAAGAAATCAACTCATTTAATGCGGCAAAAAACTAGTTGGGCTGTCGTTTCACGTCTCATTAATGTGGCAGTTGAGTGCAACTGCTGTGCATTTGCCGGTAACTCGGTTTAATTTGCTTAATTAATAAAAAATCATTTTGTCTATTCCGAAGTTTTGTCCACGTCTGTCAAAAAATATCACTTTTTTATTGGGCTTTCATAATGATAAAACTAAGCTTGATGAACAGGGGCTTATGCATTCGATTTGAAAGAGCGCCAAGTCATAAAATGTTTATGGGTTCGAAATCGTCCCTCACTTTTGCCTTTTATTTAAAGGAATGAACTTTATTGGCAAAGGGGGAATCTTTATACATTTTTTGAAATTTATATTTTATATTTTTACGATAAGTAACTAATTCAAAAAACCTGTTTAAACGTTATCATGTAAGACAGCCAAGACTTGAACGGATGTATAGATTGACATTGAAGGAAATAATTATTTAAATTGGTATAACAAATGCCAATCGTAATTTAAAGATTTCCTGGTCAGTCTTTTGAATAAAACTTTAGATTGTAAAAAAAGTAGAGCAAAAATAATTCAAATTTTGAAAGATCTCTATAAAGAATTGTAAGGTGTGCATAAGCAATAACTAATATTAGAAAGTGGTTCGAACGATTGCCACCCAAATCAAATTTAAAATCAATTTGCCAAGCCCAAACGCTTGACTGCATGCAAAAATCGCAATCCAATCTGGTATAACACACTAATCCGTACACCTTGCCCCTGTACAATTTGTTTCTTGTTTTCCCATCAATTACTGCCCCGAGCTGGCGATGGTATCTAATCCCACCGACGCCTGCCATCAACCGGTTTAAGTTTCAAATTATTAATGGCATTTAAAACCGAATATTGTGTGATGACCGAAACTGGTCGCTTAATTCGGAATTAGCCAAAAAAAATATTCTTCGCACATTTAATTCAACCTTACCCTACTTTGCCTTAAAATCAAGAAAAGTGCTAATATATAAAAAAATCGTTGTCCATATGAAGTAATATTTATAGCCAGCGATGCATAAAATAAAATATCTGCCGGAAGCCAGAGTATCGCCTTGCACACATTTAACAATCTCTAATACCCTGTTCCAGATGGTCTTACCGCACTGATCTGCAACAGGTGAAAGACTCGTTCCGATGTTATGGCCAACTAATGTCTTCGTTAATAACAAAAGTGTGACACTGCCATTCAATGCATACTAATTCGAAAATAATCCACGGTAAAGTGTTGCCACCGATATCAACGTTTAATTAATTGATTTGAAAGTCATAAATAGTGGGCTTTATTTTATCGCCAGCATTTGTCATACTTTGTAGTTTTCTTGAAATATAAGAGAAACACTGAATAACGTGCATTGGAGATTAAAGTTGAATGCGGGAAAATTAATAATCAATTAATTACCGGAGCAAGGATTTAATAAATCGATTGGTAAGATTTATTATAATATTAATAGATTTCATTAATATATTCAGCTTTTATTCGATAGATATAGCTATTAAAAATCTTTTCCTAATCCAAAGTCCTATACAAGTGCCGTCCAGATTAATAGAAATCAACAGTATCAAAGACATTCAACAATTAATTAAATAGTAATCACCGGTTTGCTCAACACACTTGTAAGCTGTCTCCAATTTTCAAACCATTTAGCAGCCATCTAAATGGTGTTAGTAAACATTTAATAAAATTTTTTTATAGCCCTTATTGTAGCGTAGGGTATACTACTATTGGTCGAAAAGTATGTAACAAGTAGAAGGTAGCGTTTCCGACCTTATAAAGTATATATATTCTTGATAGGGATCACCAGCCACCGCTGAGATTACGAGAGTAAACTATTAAAGCTACAAAGTTGGGATATGGCAGGCAGATTCTTAAGGTTCTTAGGCAGCTCGAGTTCATTTCAGCAGGGTCCCACTTCCACTTTAACGCCCATAACGCTAAAACTTGTTTAGCTCTCATTTGTAAAATGCAAATTTCTTCTGATCTTTAATACCTATCTACATGCCAAATATTTTTCAAATCGGACCATTCATTAAGAAGCTATAAGCAAATAAAGTGTGCAATCTTGGAAACAGCCAATTTGCTGCATGCATATCTCCATCTCCCTCGCACTTCGTTTAACTGAGTAACGGGTACCTAATAGTCGAGGACGTCGACTATACTGTTCTTTCTTGTTTCAAAGTAACTATCTCAAAAATATTCAAATGTGTTCCCATCTATGTTATTACACACCTTGCAACATTGTCATTAAATTAATTTATTCAATTTACATTTATAGAGATTTATTTACATCGGCTGCTGGCCGCATTGCGTATACGCAGCGTGTGCGCAAGTTGTTTCTCACTGCTGTCCCAACGATCTCGTGGCTCGCTGATAGTAGTAACCACTGTGGCGGCTGCTGTAGGCGGTGGGCGGTACCGAAACCACTCTGGTGGTGGCCGCCGGAGCAGTGGTGCCCACCAGGGTGTCCAGATAGGATCGCTGGAAGTTGTCCCTGGTCGCCTTGCTGGGCGGGAAGGCCTCTCCTTGATTCAAGGCTGTAAACGGATTCCTGGCAGCATAGTTGACAATTCCTCCAGTTTCGAACTTAAAGGGCGTTTTGGTGGTAAAGGGCGTGGTCAGCGCCGGACTGGTAAAGTACGTTTGCAGGGCATTCGTGGAGGTCTGACCATGGGTATTATACAACCCAAAGTTCAACAGACTATTGTGAGTGGGTGGCGGTGGAAGGGCAACTCGATGACCCAGCAAGGAGTTTCCAGCGGGCAGTTCCAGCCTCACAATACGATTGTTAAACTCATTGGTATTCAGGTTCTTCAGGAAAAAGCGGTGGAACTTCGAGGCTATGGCATAGATAACGCCCGGTTCCGATTTTGTGGTAGTAATATCGGCCACAAACTGCAACTGATCGCGATCAAAGGCCAGCACGGATTGCTGATTGGTAGTGGGATTCCACGAGGCGATCGCTGTTTCACTCATCGGACTGAAGATCAGACTGCTGTCGAAGGGCGATACCGAGAGGCCAATGCCCTGGGAGCTCTTCTTGCCCACCAGTTTCACATCCAACATTTTTCCATCTGGCAAAGGCCCCGCACGCAGGACATTCTTGTGCACCGAGAAAACCCTGGAAAAAGAATGGAATTAAAGTAAGTTAGTGAAATGCTGTATTCATTTTACCATAAGTACTCCTTTATTAATACCCTGAGTCGGTTATTAATTCTTCTACAATTATATTAATTGTTCTATAATGCCTCAGTAATCATTCATGAAAACTGACCTTAAACATTTAACCACCAACTGTGTTATTACTTACAGCTTTAATTTAAATTTCATTTAATTAGAAGCCCAATAGAACTTAAAGTTTCTCAAATTAATTAAATGTTTGTTGTTTAAAGAAACATTAACCCAACCTTGAAACTTGAAAGTTTTAGGCAATGTAAGTTATTATAAATAATCACTCCTTCTTGAGATTACGTGACCAATTGCTCTAAGTTAATAAAGGTATTTTTATGTATTTTGAGGGTCTTTTCATGTTATCTACGGTCAGCTGAATTGTTTTAGCCCTTTCTTGACTTTAGAAATATTTATAAGATTTTAGAGACTATTTTAGATGACTCACCTATCTGTGGCCAAGGGCTGGAAGTAAACCACACCGGTGCGCTCATCGAAAGTTATTCCAACCACTCCGTCCATCAGGACAAACCGATGCTCGTGGATCTCCGACTGGGCAAAATCCGGATCGGGATACATGGCTGGATGGGAAACCCTCCAGGTGACGTCCTTTCCACTATCGTACACAATGATTCCCGGCTCCACGGTATCGGTTATGTAGACGAAAACATCATCGCATCCCTTGGAAGTCGTCTCATCGATCACCATGTTGGTGAACAGGGACTCTCCTCGCAGGACCTCCGGGGGAAAATCGATCCTTCGCACCACTCGATCCGTGGCCAAATCCACAACCAGGATCTTTGGCGGGCAGGTGATCTCGTAATCCTCCAGGGATCGCGAAATTCCGGCATCCAGCAGCCAAATGCGATTGCAGGAATCGAGACGAAGGCGATAAACCGAAGTCAGGACGAGATCACTGCAGTTGAAGTCACTGCGACCAGTGTTGGAAAAGGACCAATCCGGATAGGCTTGCAAAGTGGGGGAATCCCCGAACTCGGCTTTGGAAACCCAACTTACTGTCGAGGAAACTCCCGAAAAGAGCTTTGGAGTGGCCAGAAAGATCCGGTCATCCGTAACGGCTACCCCGGTGACCAGAACATTTTGAGGATTGTAGAAGTTAGGATCGTTCACGGGCGCCTGGGGCTCGAAGTTATAGCGCAGGAGTTTCCACTGCTTGGCCACCTGCAAGCCAGGAGCTAGAGCCTGGCTAACCGGCGACCAAAGGACCACGCAAATCACTCCAACGAGGATGCGAATCATGGCAAGATGGGCCTGTAAAATAGCAAAAGAATGAAAAGATTACTTGAAGTTGCAGTCACTGCAAGACCAGAATCTGAACTGCTGCAACTCAGCTTCTGCTTGGGCTTATCTATCATTTCTATTTCCGGAGTTTTCGTCGGACAATCGTCATGGGAGGAAATCGGAATCAGAGATTTTCCCAACAATAAATAAGTGTTTATTGTATTTATTGATCATTGAGAATTTACATTTACAAAATAATAATTTTAAAAGCTTAAGCCTTCAAAAGCACTTTGAAAAGTATGGAAAACTTATTAATATAATATAAAATATAATTTTAAATTTAAAGAGGTTCAAACACAATTAAACTTCTCCAAGAATTAAAAAATTGTTGATTCTAAATAAAAAAAAAATTACAATCATTTCTATTATTGTTGTGTTAAAAATTTCTATCATATTAATCATATTTATTATTCAAATAAAATTTTATAGTGTAAAGACTTTGCAAACCGCAGGCAATTAATGAATAATCAATCTGTGAAGTACAACAAACCCTGGTTCGTGCTTTTGAATCAATTAGCTTATAACGATTAACAAGTCGTTTCGAGCATTGCAGACGATGCATTTCTAAGTGGTGATTTATAATCTGCATACAATGCCGTAACCTATTTTATAGGATTCCCAGCCAATTTCATAAATTTAAATGGAACCGATCCAGTAAGGTAATAGCCTTAGCCTGTCATATCAAAACCCTTTCTAGCGATATTGACGGTAATACAGATTTCATGTAAATGTGTGACAATTCCGGTCTCAATGCCGGTATGCGGATTGCAGTTTGCAGTTTGCAGATTGCAGACGGAAAAAAGCGGTGTGGGCTTGGCGATTGTATTCAAATGAGTTCGCAATGCAGCCGGGTCAGTCCAGATTGAAGTGTCCGTATCCATCAGATACTTGCGCTTGCATCTGCGGCGTGCTTTAATTTCTCACGCCAGTCGTATCCCACTTGCAGTCACGATCTCAATAAGCAGTTGCGAGAGCTGCACTAGAAAAAATATATACCAAGAGCGATATTTTCCTTTAAAGGCCCGACTCTCCATTATACTTTGATTACAGTTCTTGAGATTATTTCCATAGGTGATTGCTGGGTATAAGCAATACCTTTCAATGTCAGTATATATATATATATATATTTTGTTATTATTTAAATATTCATGGCGCAATTTAGAAAATATTTAATAAACTTAGATTGGTGCATAAAGTTAAATGCCCAACACTGAAAAAAATCATTTATTTTTATTAATATTGATAAATTTAATGAGGGGTTCTAAATAAATGAGTATATTTTTTTAATACAAATATTCTGAAAGCAAATTATTTATTATTATTTTTTTTATAATTTTTTACAATGTTTAAATGTTAAAATCAATTGAAATATGACTCTTTGCAATGCGTTTTTTAAAAACAAACTATATTGAACACACAAAAAAATGTAATCTTTATTAAGTTAAGCAAATACATTTTTTTAATAATTCAGACTAAGCTGGCAAGCTTTTTCCGCTGTGTACGAGCAAAACACATGCGTTTTTTAATTGTCCAGCCAGCTTTTTCCAGCACGGAACTGACACTTTAATTTGTCTTCCACCGGTTAGGCACAAACTTAATGGTCGATATTTGAATATTTTGGACAATTCGCTGTGGGCAGTTGTCTCTTATTTCGCTCAAATCATATACTATTAAATGTCGGAGCCAACTCCCAGACTCGTTTGAATCTGGCAAATTGCAGGCAAACATGGCCAACGTGCTGCATGGTAACTTTCATTGGCGCGTGCCACGATAAGCAGTTAAAGATAATTGAATTTTTGTAATTTTCAAGCCAGCAACTAGCATTTGATGAATTACATAAAAAAGGAGCTAAAGTCAAGGCTGATCTCGGCGCCACATGCGTGGCAAAAAGTGATTTATTTCTGAGCACTTGCGCACTTTACATAACACTTGTGCAATGCCAAGCGGAAACTCGAGCAATTTCCCAAAACCACAAAAAAAGTTAAGAAAATAAATGAGTAAAAAGAAAAGAGATGGTATTTTTGTCAACATGGGTTGGGTTCGGCTCACTGGGCGGAACAAACCGCTAACAACAAGTTTACAAGTCAAGAGGTACAAGCCGCAAAACACGAAGCCACTTGTTTTTTTCTACATTTTATTATCATCTTTTTTTTTGGTTAAAGTGCGCATTTGGCTTGATAGCCATTCATGTTGATGAGCCACGGCAAGCAATGAAATTTCGCTAAATTTTCGTTTAATTTTTCTATTAAACTTCAACACGAAGTGGTTCGAAAGCGTTTGTTGGAAACAACTTGCCTGCACGATATAAACCTCTTTGGGAAAATAAGTAAATACTATGTAGCAATTTAATAAAATGTTTGCCTGAGTAACCTTTGGAAAATTGCTTGTTTTTTCTTTTAAGCATGGTATGTTGATCAATGATAGTATAAGTTTATAATAAAAGGTTACGACTGGTGCCCCGTTAAATTGGTTTATAAAGTAGTTTTAAAAAATTGTTCAAAATGTTATACTTTAGTATAAGGCACTATTACATTGTCTTACAAACAATTAACTTGATAATTCAGATACTGAAGCTTGACAATCTTTCATATAGGTCTCTACCATAAATTGCATTATGAAATGTATACATTAAGCCAATTTAATTAAATGAGTTCAGCAATAAGCATACTCTACCCGTGGCATCTTAGGCTTAAAATAACTTAATTAACAATGGCTTAATTTTGCTTTTTCATTCATTTTAAATATAAATCTTTTCGCAAACATTTCGGTCAACAAAAGAAATTTATGCTTTGTGGGCCAGATTTTGACAGGCCATTTATTAATAGGTCCCTTTTGAGACAGTCTAGAGCGAAATGTGATGCAATGAAATGTGTGATTCCCCTTCCCTTGGACGCCAGGGGCCAATTAAGAAAAATAACTTCAACCTAGTTACTCTAACTAGTACTACACACTATGGGGTTAATACAGAGCCATTCATTCGATCGTGTGTTGCCTTATCTGAATCACAATTTTTTGCACTCTGCGAATTCTCACGTTTTCCACAATGGACATGAGACCAAAAATGTTTAATTACAATTGAGTTGCACTTTTGTACGCTGATCCTATTTGAATCGGCTACTTTTGGTGTTCTCATAAAACACAAAACTGCGGCGGAGTTGAACGGAAGGCACGTTGGCCAAAGGTTGATTAACACCTGTTTGTGAATTTCACATTTTGGCCAGCGGCGGAAAAGGTCGCCGTCACAGTTTCCTTAAAAACCGCCGACATTTGCAACGCCGCAATATGCGATCATAAATCCAGTCCAAATCGGCAGTCACGTAGAATTGTCTGCACTTTGCGGCAGCGATCGATTTTAATTGGGCCCAAAACGTATAAACAGAAATGCAATCCAAAAAAAAAAATAAGTAAAATGCGTTTACCAACAACACTTAATTAACACAGTTCCGTTCTCCGGCATTAGCGGCTTCTTTTGGCCACACAACAATCTAAACAAAAACGCACTGACACACGCGATCGGCGCATTTGGCTAATAACTCACAATGTTTGCAATTGACTATCCTTGGCTTAGGCTATCGATTTGCCAATTAAAGCGATGGGCTCAATATGTTATTATGCGAATTTCTTAAATCGGTGAGAGTGGCATTGGCAACGCCTCACAAGCTGCACTCGAGCAGCTAACTAAATGCACGCCAATTTGCACTGTAGCCGTTAGAAACCGCACTTCGCGTTCGTTGCCTAAGTCTTTTGTTTTTGCGGCCAGGCCAATTTGCGGTTCATCTGGCATTAGCTTACTTTGATACACTTTTGAGCTTTCGAGAGCTGGTTGTTGAGAAGTTGCCGCTTTAGTTAACTTTAAATTTAGATATTGGGGGGGTTTTTTTTTACTGATTGCGCGACACGTCTGATCGTTGCCGTTGCCGTTTTGCGACTGCGTTCCGTTTGTCAGGCGCACCGAATTTTATAAGAGTTGCTTGTTTGTTAGACAGAGTCTATCTTACAAGCCAACTCCTGCTGCAAGCCTCTATGTGCCACTCTTATACTTGCTGGCCGGACATTTGGAGCCGCTTTTCTTGGTGGCACATATCGCTCATACGCTCCGTTGTATCAGCTTCCGCACATTTGCATTAAAGTCTGCAGGTTATGACTGCTGGCAAACGCGTCAGCCAATTGTTGTAACTCACTTGTTTTTTGTACAGCGGCAATTGGGTTTTCTCTCTTTACAAGTTCATTATCGCTATGCCAATAAACAACTCATTCAATTTTATTTTCGCATTTTCGGGTACCTCGATATTTTTATATCAGCATATCAGCGGTTGTTTTTGTCAATGGAGTCCATTGTACCGCGTGGTGATGAGGCGGAATTTGAGGTAAACAGACAGTTATAAATTAAATGTACTCGGGGGCAATTAAAATACCACAACCTGTTCGAAAGGCCTGTTCAGCTCAAATGAAGATTTGTTTTATGCTTATTTTTTGGAAATACACAATATTCAGATATCGCTAAGTCAAATTTAAGATTTATATTACGCCTTCTGTTGAGTATGTGAACTTTAAACGGTTCCCTAGTTGTCAGCTACAGACTGGATTTTCAACAAAGCTGTTCAGCTGAGCTGAGATTTTAAGAACAGGCATAACGTATTTTAATTTCCAGAGACAGCACAATTTATATGTAATTGGGCGTTCAAATTAATGATTTATATTCCGCCTTTTTAAAATGTAACATACTGCCGTACGTTGTCGAGTTCACCAGCTAAGCTGTATTTAAATTGGTTTATAAGTGATTGCCCCTCTTATTTTTGTCCCGCCTTCTGTCGAGATATATTATTTATTAAATTATTTTAATATGTTCCCTTGCCTTCAGATGGTGGAAAATGCAGGACAGGTGCTAGAGCTCAGCTTAGCAACTGGATTTTCATCAAAGTAGTCCAACTGAGCTGAACTGGAATCGGGTTTCATAATAACTGCATGCAGGAACCCATTTACATGCGACCAATATTGGAGCCAGTGAAAGCCCACAAGTCCAAGAGCCCAACTTGTCTGGACCAAATTGAAAATGGAAAGTATGCACAGTCGAGCGATTTGAATTTTTGGCCCCGTTTGCCCCAAATTGAAAATCCCAAAATGTTCTCTGCCGCCGATTTTCGTTGGCTGAGCGCTGCTGAACCCCCAAAAAAATAAAAAAAACGTGAAAAGCCCCACTTAAAAGGGGTTATGCAAAAAAGGTGACTGCAGCCGCTATATATCGAAACTGGTTTGCGGGCAGAATTAGCCAAGTTAGCATTAACTGCCTCGGTTTGGTATTTGTTTGCATTGTGACACATGGGGTCTGTTTACTTGCTCTCGACATAACCAATGCGTGGATGAGAGGCCAGCACTGGGGGCATTATCATTCGGCGATTACTCTAATTAGCATGTGTGCAAATTCACTGCCCTGGGACAAGCCCGTTCGACATTCACTTTGTTATTGGCTCTCTTTTTTAATTGGGGTGTTTTCGGAGAACTCTTTGGCCACCGCGATTGCTAATACTAAGTAACGATCTTAATAAACGTTTATGTAGTACCGGTTCTAGCCACCACAGTTCAAGGCTGTGGTCGATGGCCAATGTCAGACGATATGGCCAGCAGCCAAGTGATATAACCGAGTAATCCAATCACATCCGATTCGAGTTCGAGGTGTTACGACATGTAAGCCGGGCGGAAACGTAGGTGGCTTGTGCCTATCCCGGGGCAATTCGCGGCTATCAAAACTATCTCAACTACATATCGCAGTTTCCTTTCACAACAACGCCCGGGACCGATGCTCATTAGCCGTTTTGGCCCGGCCGTTTCGAAAGTAACCGATCCGCGGAGAAACAAAATCTGTGGCACGTCTGCAGGCCACTCGCTCCATATAATTCGGTGACGATGAACACTTGAAGATTAATAGCCGAAACGCCTTGATATGATAGAGATCCGCACACCGGGGAAAAAAGTAAGACATTTTTTTATTATTGTAGTTCAAATATTATTAAGAAAATAATGAACAACACAAGTTGTTATTGGTAATAAAATGAAATGTATTAAAAAAAATATAAAAATTGAGGCCCTCAAAGGATCTGTTGGTCTAAAGTTTAATTTAAAATTAGCAATCTATTTTAGGAGTTTTAAAAAAATAATAAGAGTAATAAAAAAAATGTTAGATATAACATTCAAAAGCCCTAATCTTGCCGGATTGATTTTAAATATAGCAATTAATAAAGAAGTAAATTGAATTTAAGATATAAAATTTAAAAACTCTATCTTTGCCGAATTGATTTTTGAGATAGCAAATATTAAGGAAGTACAATGAATTTAAGAAATAAAATTTAAAAGCTATATTTTTGAGGAATTGAGTTTTTAAACAATAATTAAATAAGTAAAATTAATTTAAGATATAAATTGATTTTTAATATATCAATTATTAAAGAAGTTCATTCCTATACAGTTTAACCATTTTTCAACAAGGTTTCTTCCTTGACTTGACCAGTAAAATAGTAAATATGTAATGCAAAAGCTTTAGTAGGGTAATTTGAAAATAATAATGAATTTGTTCTGCCTGTACCCAAATGCAGTAATCGCCTATCTCCCCTTAGTGAGTCCATTACGAAATGAACCTTAAATATGTTTCAAATTGAGGCTTACTGGCTGTCCGCCGGCATTCTCCAAATGCCTTGTCATCGCCAACGTGCAATTGCTTCATTTTCGCATTCTGTGCTCACAAACTTGGTTTAAATTGATTCAATCCAAGCGCACGGAGGCAACTGCTGACAGTTTCATTACCGGCTCTGTCATCGGCGGCAAGGTCTTGATGAATTTGGTAAACATTTCGGGCTCTTAGCTGGGCTAAGTCGGGGAACCTTTGAGGCAAACCCTTCTGAGCGCCGGATCTCAATCAACTAATATCGCGATCAGCACTAATTCTAAAGCGATTTTAATGGCTTTGCTTAAGTTCCTGCCTTTTGGTTTTCCATAAATGCAGACCATTAGACCAATTAGGCCAATGTGGCTGAAGGCTCCACCTCCGCAGAAGGTGTGCCAACAGCCGGTTTCGGTTTCCCACAGACACTCACAATCAAACTCAATTTGTTTTGTATGATTTTGTGAGTGGGGCATACTTTCGTTTTCCGTCGATTGTGAATACCATCGGATTATCAATATCCTCCAATAATATTCAAGCACCATACTGCGGTTACAGAGTTATTATAACCCGACCATTTCAAGACTTAATAAATCAGTCTTGAAGTATATATGGCCACTACTTACCCATAGAGGTACGGAAAAAAATAAATGAGGGTCGTTTAATATTTTGAATTAGTAAAAAAAATATGCTGGCCAATGAATTAATGATATTTGGACTTAAAAGATTTTTAATGATTTTTTTTTTTCAATTTTCCATTATAAAAGCTTACTTTCTAGATGTTAGATTCTTTTTTAAGGTGCAGTTATGACCGTTTCTATTCTCTTAACGAAGGTCAACTCCATGCCAAAAGTGCTGCAACTGACTCTGACTTTGACGCCTGTGGCCAATGCGAAGTATGGTAGACTGAACTGATCCGATATATTATATAGCGGATAATGGATATTGGGGTCTGGGGGCTTGGAGTGCGCTGGACATGCATGTTGGCTTTGTTTTCAGACGTTAAACTAATAAATTGCCAGAAATGCATGCTGTTGGCATAACGAAATTCAAATACCTTTTTCAAAAGACTCACTGAAATGTTTTTTATGCCAATGAGTAAGACCAAATTGCAGCTTAAAGATTGGGTGCCTAAATTAAAAGATAAATTTTATATAGGTCATAATACCAGTTGATGATTAATAATTAAAATTGAATTCTACTTAAACTGCAAAGCGACTAAGCCACAATATTTACTCAACATAACATTCTGTTGTCTTAAAAGGGTAAAAAATATATATAATTCATATACTTACTCATTAATCCGCGATTTGTATTCAGAAGTAAAAAACAAGTCGATTTCTTTTGTGCCATGCCAGAAATATGTTTTAACAAATTATCATACCGACTAGGCAAGTGATTTTTGGTTTTATTTTTCGCTACATACATAGCCATTTAATTTAATTTATTATTAATTAAATTTCTGGCAGGAGAGCGTAGACATAACAAAAGCGGTTACTAATTCGATTTACTCGCCCGGCTAATGTATTTCGAATATTCCACATACTTAACATATTTTGTAGCTCATGACCACAGAATACAAAACTGGCTCAACTTTTACCACCAGCCGTGGGGACAAAATCAAACTCGAATTACTGCCTGATTGGAAAATTATTCAATTGATTTCGCACTAACACACATAGTTCTGGCAGCAATCTTATCTTAAATGACTCTTGATCGACTAATTGGATGTTTAATGTTCCTGATTTAATAGTTCCCACTAAGAATTGATGGTGTTTCATGTTTGTGAAGGTGTGCTAGCCATAAAAATGTAACAACTGTGTGTTTAAAATTTATTGGAGACCCACCAAAGCTGTGCATGGAAATGAAATTTTACGATTTGCGCAATGTACGAGATCATAAAAAAGTGCGTTTATGAAATGTGTTGCCGGCCGAAGAGATAAATAAAAAAATGAGAGCAATTTGCTGGATTCAAATCTAGTGTCCACCAACATTTTGCGATTGCATTGCATGTGGTTGTGTGTTTTATTTTTTGAGCCACGCGGCGTATTCAATTTGTTTTTCTTTCATTCGATGCAATGTTATTTATGATCACAAAATGTCAGGCCATGTTAAACTTGTGGCAGTATGGCTCTAACTTTAATGTCAAATGGGTGAGTCTATATCCAACCATAGGATGGAATGGTCTGCATTTGGCTAGTGTTGATAGAACTCGCTTGGAAAAAATTTAGTGATTTTTGCCAATTACTTCAAAAAATACGTATATAAAATATAAGAAAACTAAAGTGATCATATAATTCTACATTTCCAGATAATTATTATTAGGATAAAGAAAGCTAAGATTGAATACTGCTTGTATTAAAAGTATATCAGAGTCGGTATTCAGGACTAAATAATATACAGTCTATACTTTACAGTACAATTTCTTTATATTATAAATTTAAATTTACTTTGTTTTTTCTGGTGCTATAATAAATCTTCTATCATATTAACCTTACAAATTAAAAATTTGTGGGTAATAAATATTATATATATTTACTATATTATATATTTCCGATTTAATATATTTCCAATATTATACATGTCCGATTTTATATATTTGTGATATTATATATATTCAATATTTAAGCTAAACAATAGCTAAAAAGCTAGCTCTTGGTAGGACTGACTGAGGTTGCAGGCAGTGTGGCATATTGGCTCGGAGAGATTTCAGATAAGACTTGTCGCAATTCAATTGGAGCGTCAGCGCCTATGGCGGGACCATAAAAAACGTGGCCTAAAACAAAAAAACCAGGCGGAATGGGGGAAAATATTATTCATGCCCAACAGTCACAGTCACTGCTGAGGGGCCAAATCAGTCCATAGATTGAAGAATTAACATAATTGCAGTATAATAACAGAGTCGGTCCCTCGGGGGCTGGGAGTGCGTGGCCCGCCCTCAAGGGGTGTGGCCGGTGGGCGTGGCACACTCAGTCGTTTGCGGAATGTCCACACCTGAGCAACGTTTTTGGCTGGCGACCTTGCTGTTCCTCTTGAGTCAGCATTGTGGGGTTTACGGATTTGGAATCAATCTGATGAAGGTTCCAACTGAGGCCAAAGCGCCGGAAGCTTGCATCCTCGCTTTGCTCCGGAAATATTTTGATTCCGGAGATGGACTCTCCGGCTCAGTACTGTGCTTTAATCGGAACTATCAGTTGCCCAACATTCAAGAGCAGTTACTAAGAGGTATGAATACGTATGCAAAGTATCCTTGGAGCATCTTGATCACGAACTCCAGGGAGGGTCCTTCGTCGTCCCAGTTTGTTCTGAGCGAGAAGCCGCAGTGTTATTTCCTAATTATTGAGAGTTTAGATGACGAAGATATAGATGAGATATTCGAGCACTGGAAGAGCATGGTCAACTGGAACCCCCTGGCCCAATTCGTGGTCTACTTGGCCAGCTTGGAGGAAACAGACGAGGAGATGACTGACCTCATGGTGGAACTGCTTCTCACCTTCATGAACAAAAAGATCTTCAATGTGAATGTAATTGGACAGAGCGAGGAAAACGAATTCTTCTACGGAAAAACCGTGTTTCCCTATCATCCGGATAATAACTGTGGAAATCGCGTGATATCTATTGAACTAATAGATGCCTGTGATTATCCGGGTGAAGAAAAAGAAAGTGATGTTGAAGAATCTGGGGAGGGGGAAAGCGGTGGAAGCCAGGAGGAAGATGCAGAAAATGAAAACAGTCAGGAAAATGAGGATGATCAAGACGAACAAAGTCAAGAGCAACATAATGATAATGATAATGAAAACAAGAGTTTCGAAACAAATGAAGATGAATACTCCCAAACTGAAGATCAAAGGGGTAAAGAAAATTCAGATGATAAAGAAGATACTGTCATAAGACAAGAACAAGAAGGTAATGATTATCAAAATCATATAAATAAAAGTGCAGATGATAATGGAGATAAAAAGAAAATTGAGGAAAGTGATCTTCAAAATTCAAAGGCAACTTCAAGTCAAGAAGATAATAATAAAGAAAATAATATAATAAATGACCCAGTAAGCGAGGAAAACAGAAATGATTATGCAGTAAATGATCTAAATATAAGCTTTGAAGAAAGTGAAAATTATAGTAATAACTTACAGAACCAAGTTAACAATGATGATAACTCTCGAAACACTAAGTTGTATGCCTCTTTTAAAACCAAAGAAAAATTCGTAAGAAAGAAGATGGAACCAGATGATGAGTATTCTGAAAAATCTGATAGCGATAGTAATGAAAATATGACGGATACTACAACAGAAACAAGTAGCGATGATCCAATTCAAAGTTCAACTGAGATGAACAATGAGGATAAAGCTGATGAATCGACTGAAAAAGATGATGATGAACTTGAGACTAATTTAAACTCAAACTCCTCAGAGCCGGAAGCCACCATCGAGGAATTCTATCGCGCCAAGTTTGAGGACAAGTTCCCCAGTGATCTCAGTGGATGTCCTCTAACAGCCTCTTTTCGACCTTGGGAACCATATATATTTCGCAACAGTGAGGAGGATCCTGTGGACGAATACTACTATGGTTTACAAGGAGAAGGAGACGACTACAACGAAACATCACCCAGTTATGGGGAATCGGAGGACGAGAGCTATGGTGATCCGGGGGAAGAGGGTGACAACACCATCCCAGACACTGAAATTCAGGCAAGTGCAAAGGTCAAGTTGAGTGGAATCGAGTACCAAATGCTGCAGACCATCGCCGAGCGTCTGCATGTCAACATTGAAATGCAGAGTGAAAACAGCAATTTATACCATCTTTTTCAACAGCTCATCGATGGGTGAGCATCATTTAAGGAAAATAAATGTGTTATATTAATATATTATTATTATTCCATACAACCGCAGAGAGATCGAGATGATTGTGGGCGGAATAGATGAGGATCCGAGCATCAGTCAGTACGTATCAAGTTCCATTCCATATCACCAGGACGAACTCACTTGGTGTGTGGCTAGGGCAAAGCGAAGGCATGGCTTTTTCAACTTCGTGGCCACATTTAAAGCGGATGCAGGATTCTTGCTAGGACTTTTTGTGGTCACATGTTCCCTGGTCGTATTGGTGGCTCAACGCGTCTCTGGCTTCCGACTGCGCAATCTGAATGGATATTTTCCCATTTGCCTGAGGGTTCTTGGAATCCTGCTCAACCAGGCCATTCCGGCTCAGAATTTTCCCATAACCTTGAGACAACTATTTGCTCTGTCTTTTCTGATGGGGTTCTTCTTCAGCAATACGTACCAGAGTTTTCTGATCAGCACACTGACCACTCCACGGAGTTCCTATCAAATTCAGACTCTAGAGGAGATCTACAGCAACCGGATGACCATCATGGGCACCTCCGATCATGTTAGACATCTAAATAAGGAAGGGGAGGTGAGTCTTAAAATATATACATTTTAAAATGATTTAAGTAAATTTTATTCCTCTTTCAGATCTTCAAATATATTCGGGAAAAGTTTCAGATGTGTTATAATTTGGTGGAATGTCTCAATGATGCCGCTCATAACGAACACATCGCAGTGGCTGTTTCTCGACAACACTCCTTCTACAATCCGCGAATCCAACGAGATCGTCTTTTCTGCTTCGATCGTCGAGAATCCCTGTATGTTTATCTAGTGACTATGCTGCTGCCAAAGAAGTACCATCTTTTGCACCAGATAAACCCGGTGATCCAACACATCATTGAATCGGGTCATATGCAGAAATGGGCCCGAGATCTAGATATGCGGCGTATGATTCACGAGGAGATTACAAAGGTGCGGGAGGATCCTTTCAAGGCTCTTACCTTCGATCAGTTCCGAGGAGCCATCGCATTTTCTGCAGGACTTTTGATGGTTGCCAGTGGAGTATTTGCCATAGAGTTCTGTTTTTTCTATTTCTACCGATCTAAAAGGAGAAGGATCCGAAGAATACCACATGTACAGATAAACAAAGTTGTATACAAATAATCATTAATGTTTATAGAATCAAAAGAGTTGGAATTCAAAATTGATGAACTTTGTCATCATAAAACATTTTATAAGAAACGAGCATTTTATGGAATGAAAAACTTTAAGAGTAGAAAATAGCCCTCAATATATATTTTTGAGCTAGCCTTTTTTTTGATCTTATCATAAATTAAATACTATTCTCATATTATAATCAGACGTTTAATGCTTGTACTTCTGCCAGAAAGTATGCAAACGTTTTTAGATACATTCGTTCTTTTTTTAATAAATAATTTTACTAGTTCATAGATTTTTCCAAAAGCCTATTTTTCAAGTGGTTTCTGTCAGTGCAAACATTTGATTTTGGTATTGCTTCTTTTTTTGATCAAGCATACGCCCTGTTGAACCAAACATGTGCATTGCATTAAATGCTTTAAATACAAAATAAATATAAAAATGTCGAAATATAGCTTGAAGAGATTCATAAATATATGCTTATATATTAATATTTTCTTGGCACAATATTCAATTTAAAAATACAGTATTGCAATACACCGTGGAATGCAGTCTGCGTTGCAGGTGCACAGAAAGAAATGCATAGTGATCAATGGTATATTAACTGATTTAAAATATTATCTCATTTTTTCTAATGATTACCAAGAAATATAAGAATTCAATTTAACAAGGTCTTTCTGGAATGGAATTTCTTACCAAATGAAGAGCCCAGATATTTTTAAAAAACTATCCAGGAAGGGCTTTTTTTTGTACAAGTTCCTGATATTTTTCTCCGTGTTTGGTGCTCATACCCGTAGAAATATCCGTACCCATGGCTGCTGGCGATGCGGCTGGTTGTCAGAAAAGCGAACAAGCGCGCACGCCGCCAACGTCAAGCTGTCGTCGGCATTCTGCTCCGTTGTTTGGCGCATCCTTAAAAGGTGGTGGCCCAATGTTCCGACCTGGTCTGTTCGCCGCTTTTTTGTGCTGGCCTGGCTGGTGCCTCCGCTTCTGATGGCTCTGCCCCAACCAAATCTCGTATATGTGGCTTTCTCGGATTTTTATAAATAATACTTTCAGGCAGCACATTTGTTGCAGTATCATCAAATTGGCAGATTTGTGTTGTTGCTGGCCAACACAATTCAATCAGCTGCTAGCCAGCTAATGTGGGCCGAAAATTTCTAAGAAACACAAAAAATAACACACAGGCGCTAACATATATTCAGACGTATTTCTATATTAATGCTGACCAACTAAGCGTTGTGACAGACCGAATGAATGGCGCCCAACAAGGCGTTGTGAAAATGTTTGCCGACCAGCCAGCTGATAGTGGGGAAAACAGAGTGAATGAACGCATATATCTTGGAGAAATTCTATATTTTATAAAGAGAATTCCATGACTATTGGGGAATATAGAAAGTATCTAGGACAATTAACTTGTCGCTTTAAATACTCATTAATACATTTTGCTATGCCAAACTATCCCCTTATTTACTACCAAGGTACTCAATCAGCCCTATTAAGAAATTCCACTTCCTCACCTGCGATAACTGGCCAATCATATATTTATCTAAATTTAAATATAAGAATTTCGTGAGTTCTGAGTTAAAAATAGAATTCCATAGTCTAGATACGTTTCTGCGCGTAAGCGTCAAAGAATCTCTTGCAAAAACGTGAGAGCGCACGGTTTTCATTTTATTTATTTTTGCCTTTCCCTTCGATTTCCATCTCACACACAGTTTTCCCCACCCACACTCGCACACTCGGAAAAACTGAGAGAATATGTAAAGTAAACAACAAACGCATTTCGCCGTTTGTTATTATTTTTGAAAATTCCCATAGCACCATATAAGTCAATTAAAAGTTTTGATCATTAGCCGAATGGATTTTAATGATCTCGTTTGTGATTAATGAGAGTGTGCCGCCAAAAAGCAAAAAAAAACGGAAAGAAATGCTTATGGGCACTTTTAATTAATTTCAGTTTTGCCAACTAGCAAAATGTGGCAAATCTATAAATGCAATGTGCGCTCTATTAACAATTTTAGGTTTGCGTTTATGGCTTTTGAGTCCCTAACCAACGAGCACCAAAAGCAACCCACCCACCCAGTAGAACAGCCCACACCCACCAAATTATGGCCGAGAGAATGCGGCGATATATAACTTTTGGTTTTGTTTTGAAATTCTTATTTCTAATTGCGAGTGCGTTCTCATCATCGCTGAGAGATTTCCATCGCAACCATGTATGGATTGGGCCAACGTGCAAATGTTGATTAAAAATTAGACAAAACAAAAAACGAACACGGCACCCATACAGCCTCAGATACATCCGCAGCTGCAAAGATACAGATACACATTCGAATGGAGAGCGAATACTACGCCTACGATTGGGATGCTCCGATCCGGAGGATCTTCACGGGTGTGTGTGTCTGTGGGTGAGCCATCGCGATGTTGTTTACCAAGGCGCTCAGCACCGTCTGTTTCTCTGTTTCCCCGTCGATGCACTGCAAAAAACATTACTAAATTACAATTTTACTTAGGAATCTATGGAAGCTATACTCAGTTTTGGAATCAGCAATCATCTCCGTCTTTTTGTGGCCTTGAATTCATTTTATATTACAAAAATTTAAAATATCTATGATATCAGGCTGTCTTATAAATGATTTCGTTGGTTTCCATGTTTAATAAATGCCATTTTTTAAATTTAACAAATAAAATAATGCTTTTAAGGGAGGCTTATATTTTCATTTTCTTTTCTTGATTAGCTTTTTACTTTAAGTATATGTAATAAAAATAATAATATCTAAACTTATTTAATATTTTTTTTGATTGATTAGCCCTAGTCGCTAATTGAAATGTAATTGTATTAAAGATAATATTATTAAATAAATTAAGAAAAATATATTAATGTACTAAAAAATGTATTCTTAACAATAAAAACTTAAACTTATTTTTGTTTTTCCGATTCAATTTTAATATTTTTTAAATTGGTCAGTAATGTTGCCAGCTTTG